ATGGGTGGGCTGCTGGGGGTTTGCAGGGGTTCGGGAGATCCTCTAGCTAAGATTCTGCAGTTCAAAGAACCCCGCAAATCCATCCACCCCATATCCACCTGCCCCACCCCTCCCAGGAGTCCCCACGTGGCTCGGGGAGGACAAAAAAACAGGCCATCCGGAAGTTCAGGAAGGCCAGAAACAGGCTCGTTTCCGGCTTCCGGAGAGCCTCCGGAGCCCGGAGAGGCCATTTTCGCCCTCCCAGAGGCTCGGGGAAAGCTTCTGGAGCCCAGGGAGGACAAAAACACTCCCCTGCACCGCTGCTATGGTGCAGGAGGCTGACTAAGCCACACCCACCATGGCCATGCCCACCCAGCAACCAGGAAGAGAACCCGTTGCTAAAAATTTTGAAGCCCAGCCCTGACAAAGTCAATCTGACACACTCCAGACCACAATGGAACCCCAGATTTACATGTCTAAGCAAGACAGTTAAGTGAGTTTCATCCATTTTGCAATGTTTCTTGCCACAGTTGTTATGTGAACCACTAAAGTTGTTAAGTCGATCAATCGTTCAGTTGTTATGCAAAGCTGGCTTCTCCCCATTGATTTGGCTTGTCAGAAGCTGGCTAGGCAGGTTACAAACGCTGATCACATGCCTTTGGGACAGTGAAACCGTCATAAATGAGTCAGCTGCCAAGAAACTCAGTTTTGATCACATGACCATAGAGATGCTGCAACAGTCGTGTGAAAAATGTTCATAAATCACTTTTTTTTTCAGTTTCGTTGTAACTTTGAACAGTCAACTAAACGAATGGTGGTAAGTCAAGGACTACTTATAATTTGAAATTCTCCTGGGTATATAAACTATTGCAATTCCCTTTTGTAAAGGACAGATGAAGTAACTGGGGTTTTATTACAAGATCCAATGAACCTAATTCTTCATCAGTTCCTGGAGTAGTTGAAGTACATACATCTTTAAGTTGCCAATTTTAAGAAACATTGTTTTAGACTGAAAAAACAGTAAAAGCCCAAGGAATCATTGCCAAGGAAACTGCATCCATTTATGTCAGCATGATGTCACCACCATGAAGTCTTCTTCATATATGCATATACATATATATAACACTGCTGGATTCGTGTTACAGACCATTAAAGAATTCGAATTTCGAAGTGTACGAGTTTCCGACATTTTACAATTGATTATTTTTTTTAATTTATAAGGGTAACCATGGGCCAATGTTTAACAATTTCTTGTTCAAAACTTGATAGGGCTAGCAGGTACTGAATAAAATTACTTGCCATGACAGATTCGTTCCCCATGATTACATTTCTTGTCTGTTCTTTGGCAACTAATTGGTCATGCTATCAAAATGAACCCAGAAGTGGAATGAATACTTCTGTCAACTATAATAATCCCTGCATGGCCTTATACAAGCAGTCTTCTTTAACTACAACCGTTATGCTGCTATAGGGCATTGCATGCCAATACTACTAGATGCAGATCGTTTCCCCCCCCCCCCCCCCGCCACCACACTGCTGAATTCCTAATTCCTACAGCACTGTCCCATTTCTTATCTTTCCTATTATCTTCTCCTGTTAGTTTCTTATGATGTATCTATTGTTGTATTTTATGATCTATGACCTTGTTTATATGTACATTGTGAGCTTATGAACCAGAGAAAAATTCTTTGCATGTCCAATCCCACTTGCCAATAAAGAATTATCTTCTCTTCTCTATTCTTTTCTCTATCCTACTCATCTCTTCTCCCCTACCCCCTCCCTATTCTATTCTATTCTATTCTATTCTATTCTATTCTATTCTATTCTATTCCATTCCATTCCATTCCATTCCATTCCTCTACTCTTATTCTATTCCACTTTCTCTACTCTATTCTAATTTTAATTCTAATTCAACTCTAATTCTAATTCTATTCTGCAGTAAAAAAAAAATGCTAAGTAAAACATTTGTTTTACCATTCTCCATAAAGAGAAATTTTACACAATATTATGCCAAAGAATTAATTTTATTGGATTGGGAGGGGAAAAGGTCAGGAGTCTGGCAGGGAAAAGTATACAATTTTTTTTAAAAAACCATCTCAAAATAATATCAAATAAATACAGAAAGCATTTCTTCTATTTACACAGAAATAACAAGTTGGATTTAGAGGTGATCATACAGACTTCATAAGACGGTGGGATTTAGGACAGTCATGCTAAACTAAGTCCCACTGACTTCTTTAGCACACTGCAAAAAAAGAACTGAGTCCGATTCAGATGAATAGAATCCACGAAGAACAGGATCTAAACTGACCGACTGCCCAACCTTAAATGCAGGGGTGGGATTCAAATTTCTTAACACTGGTTCTGTGGGCATGGCCTAAGTTGTGGGTGTGGCTTACTGGTCATGTGACTGGCTGGGAGTGGCTTGGTGGTCCCATTACTGGGTGGGTCAAAAGATAGAAATTCACTTTAACAATGCTCTTGGTGTGAGGTTGGACACTAGATGACCTCTGAGGTCCCTTCCAGCCCTGGATTTCTGTGCTGTTTCAAAGCAACCCCTGAAGCTGTGTCTAGTGCCAGTTTGTGGTCCTTCCTTTCTCTCCTTTTTCTTTCCCTCTCTCCCTCCCTCCATCCATTGTCCGTCCATCCATATCTCATTCACATTCCTTTCCCTTTCCTCTTTCTCCCTTCCCTCCCTTTCTTTTTTTCTCCCATCCCTCCCTCTTTCTTTTTCATCCTAGAAAGAAAGAAAGAAAGAAAGAAAGAAAGAAAGAAAGAAAGAAAGAAAGAAAGAAAGAAAGAAAGAAAGAAAGAA